CAACCAATCAAATAGCTAGAAATTCACTTGAGGTGTAACAACATTTATTGTATCATGCATGTAGTATCTCAAGGCAGATACCTAAGGACTATACCTTATATAATAAGGATAGATAAATATAGCATATGATCCCTCCTAAGAAACTTCTAATGCAGGCCATTGTAAATAGATGCATAAATGGTTTTTGATATTTTTTCTTAATATCTAATTGATAATAGATAGCTGTTCTATTCCATATTGTAATGAATTTTCTTCAGCAGTAGACATTGCCAATTTTCGAGACTGAAATTATTTTCTGTCTTCTTTTTTGCAGAGGTATTGATACAGTTAGATAGATGATGCTGGAATGACAGCAGGATGCCACAGATTACAAACGAAGAAGATGCTACAACCTTGATTAACTGATTTATCTGAACCTGAATATAAACACACTGCAAAACAAAAATTGATAGGCTTCAAAATGGCCTTCACCTTTTGGAATTCATTGTGTGGCCACAATGAAAACTTTACAGCTTGGAGAAAAGACGATTTTGGTCCGTGTTTTGAGAAAATAGCCCTGATCATACCAGCTCATGTACTTCTGGCTATAGTGAGTACATATCATGGAGCACAAGTACATCGGAGAGTCTCCAGCACCAACGCCACATTGAGGATGCCCTGGTTTATCACTTTGAGACTGGTGACTATTTCATTATTCTTGATATTACCAGTAGCTCAGCTGATGGGAATGTTCATGATCCTAGAGGTGGAGCCAAGTATAGCAGACTGTGTATATGTGGGTTTAGTGAGTCTCACTTGGTTACTGCACGGCATTTACACTTACAACCTGAAACATATGTACTGGGAAACATACAGAGGCCCTCTGTGTGTGGTACTTTTCTATCTTCTGACTTTTGTATCAGATTGTCTTCACTGCTACAGTGTTATCAGAATGCATTTATCTAACTCTCCACTCCATAATTCAGCTGAGGAATACTGTGTTTATGTAACTATCTTTTGTCATCTGTTATACATCTTTACCCTCAAACCGACTGGAGATAGGCTCATGAGTGACAGTTATCTTCGCCATAGTTTGAATATATCTCCTTCTGAAACAGAGCACCTAATGTTCCCTGGAACGACTGGCTATGGGTCTATCACCAGTCCTCAAAGAACAGTAACTGTTGCAGAGGATGGATCATCATTCCTGTCAAAACTTACATTCCACTGGGTACAACCCCTGATGGTTAAAGGGTACAAACAATTAATAAGGTCTGCATCTGATCTTTATCTACTGCCTAATAAGCTCAACACTAAAGACTTAGAGGACAAGTTTTTGAAAATTCTTTCACCATCTAGGCAAGGGACATCACTTTATGATAACGAGGAAAGCAGTCAAGGCACCCCATTAACACCAGATGTCTATATCAGGTCAGGAGGACAAAACACTGGACACACGCACCAGCAAACTCCAACCATGTTGAGAGCTTTACATAAAGCATTTGGATTAGAATACTACCTTCTTGGTATTTTAAAACTGATGGCAGACTCTGTTGGTTTTGCGGGGCCAATGCTACTAAACTTACTAGTGACATATATAGAGAACAAAGAGGAGCCAGAACAACATGGATACTTGTATGCAAGTGGGTTACTGTTGTCCACACTCATTGGTTCTCTATGCTCTAGTCAGTTTGATTACCATTGTCGAAATGTTGGATTCAAAATGAGATGTGCAATCATCACAACCATCTACCGGAAAGCTTTGTCTGTGGGCAGTGTATCCATCTCAAAATTTAGCATGGGTGAAATTGTTAACTTCATGAGTACAGACACAGACAGAATGGTAAATTTCTGTCCCAGTTTCCATGCTGTGTGGAGTTTACCTTTCCAGATTGGAGTATCTTTGTATCTCCTCTACTTACAAGTGGGGATAGCTTTCCTTGCCGGGCTAGGGTTTGCTCTCCTCCTCATCCCCATTAACCGGTGGCTTGCTAACAAGATAGGAGAACTGAGCAAGGATATGATGAAACAGAAAGATGCCAGGGTTAAGGTAAGTCTGTGTCAGCATTTGCCTTTGAAAACCCTAGATATCTCGTGGTACATATTTAATTAACTTATGTTTTGACATAACTTTTACCGTTCAAAAGTTGAAATGCATTATCCACAACTTTGTCAGTGTATGAATAAATTAATTCATCAGGATGTAGAAAGCTGTTCAGCCAGTTCAGCATATTACATTGTACCTGAAGTGCATCATTGAATTTAAAATTATGATGATCTTAAAAAGAGTACTCTTTGTGTTGGACACAATTTATCCAGAAAACATTAAGTATTTAAAAATAAATTTTGAATATAACCAGATGTAAACAATACAAAGCAACTGATAAATTTATTCCGTGTACAGATGATGAATGAAGTATTGTTTGGAATGAGAATTATAAAGTTCTACACCTGGGAAAACCATTTCCGCTCAGAGATTCAGAGGCTGAGAAATGCTGAGCTGAAGAGTCTGAAGGGACGGAAGTACCTGGATGCAATGTGTGTTTACTTCTGGGCTACCACACCGGTTCTCATTTCTATACTCACCTTTACAACCTACTCACTGATGGGGAATACCCTAACAGCAGCCAGGGTAGGTTACCAACATGTATACTTCATTACAGTTTTAAGTTCAAACAGAGCATTGGTGTCACATACTGTATAGGACTCAATGGAGTCTGATTGAAGGATTTAACTTCAAATCATATTGATTCTACTGTATGACACTATTGTAAAAGGGTATAGTTCAGTATCATGTAGAGATTACCAAGATATAGCTTGGTATTAAAAAGAGCTCATTTGAGATGATTTGAGAAGTTTTGCCTACAGATCGAGTTAATTGGAACTGGAAAATCAATATATATCAGGGTAGCTATGGCTTAACAGAAAAGGTGTAAAAATCTCACTTAAATTTACATAAATAATATTTGCATCACACAACAAATGTAGAGTATATTATATATTACATTTCTGTGTTATGTACGAGTAGTGCATTTGATTCTGTTTGACCTGACAGGTGTTTACAAGTTTGTCCCTGTTCATGATGCTGATCAGCCCCCTGAATGCCTTCCCCTGGGTGATCAATGGTCTGATGGAGGCCTGGGTGTCCCTCAAACGTGTCCAGGCATATGTGGCCCTTACTGACATGGACATGAGGTCCTACTACAAAACATCAGAGGGTACTGCACAGTGTTTGTTATCTACAGTTGAATTATTATACTATCATGGAGATGGTGTCGTGATATAGGCTGG